TTCAAGAATTTCTTACCTGTTTGATGCATTTATAACATCATGTGAAATTTAGAATCAGTTGGTTAAGTTTCAAAATCTCATTTGTAGACTTTTGCTAAAATCTCTCACACAAGCTGTAGTTGGTGACAGCATGCTCCAAACCTGTCAATAAAAGGCCCAAGACCTGACACTGGCATCAGCCTGCCTTGCTTCATAGCTGGGCTTCCAAGCTCAATACAAATAGCAAATAACAGCCATCTGCAGATCCTTCTATAGCTCCTGCCTGGTGTCCCATGCTGTGGCTGACTTTGCACCTCCTTGGAGGCCCTAGAGCCAGTGCACCAGTGGACAGTATCAGAACATAGCAGATTACAACTCTACACATCCCAAGCGACACACACAAGAAGCAGATTCCGTGAACACCAAAGCTTCACTGAAGCAAGTCCTGCTCCATAAGGGTGTTTTTTGCACAGCAACTCTCCCACTATAGTTGCAGCTAGTCCTCACAGCCAATTGGCCTAGAAGTCAACTACTCCCAGCTACACCAACAGCAGTCAAGGTTGAAATACAAAAAGACTGTGCACACAGACCACACAGGGGTGCACCTAGAGTGCCCAACTCAAGTGATTGGGGAAGCTGAGCCACTGGACCCTACAGAACAAATACTACACTCTACCAATTCCAGCAGACAAAGCAGCTCTACCTAATACATAGAAACAAACACAGGGAAACAGCCAAAAGGCAGAGACAAAGAAACATGTCAAAAATGAAAGAAATGAGAGAAACCAAGATGGCAGCATAGGTAAACACCTGAACTTGCTGCCTTGCACAACCACTTCAAAACTACAACTAAAAGACAAAATGGGTATCATTCAGAACCACGGGAAGGCTGGCTGAGTGGAAATTATACAACTAGAAGGAAAGTGAAAAAGTACAGAGACTCGGAGGAGGTGCAGAAGTGAAGTGCAGAAGAATGGAGGTGCGTGCGCAAAAAGGGCAATCAACTGAGTACACTGTTGTCTTTTTCAATCAGGAGGGAGCTACAAGCTCCCAACTGCTCTAAACTCCAGTTTCAGGCAAAACTCTGGGGACCCAAACTCATACGGGGAGAAACTGGACTATCTGGTATCAGGCGGAACTCAAGGACGGTTTTTCTCAGAGATACTTGCAGCAATCATTGTTCCTGTACAGTGCTGTGGGACACAGAAACAGGACCTGTTTCAGGCAGGGCTGATGGTCAGCCAGCCATTGCTGTTTGCTCCACCCTGGTGATTCTGAGACCCTGCCCGACCAAATTTACAACCCACCCAAACTGTGCGCAGAGGCTTTTGCATATAAATGGCCTGGCACTTTGCAATCTGAAACCTAATGTACTGAAGCTAGGTCAAAGAGCCTCAGAGCCTCCAAAAGAAGACCCAAGGCCCCACAGCTGGACCTCATCTGGGCACCTCCAAAACCCAAACAAAAGAGGAATCTGCAGATCTCTCCACAGCTCCTGCTGGATGGCCTCTCTCCTTGAAGATTTAAGAGCCAGTTTACCCGCTGGTCAGAGAGAGACCATCCAGATTACAACTCTTCAGATGCATAAGAGAGACACACTCAGGGGGAAGACTCAATGAGCACCAAAGCCCCATTGAAGCAAATCTTGCCACATAAGGGTGTCTCCAGCTCAGAAGTTCTCCCATCATAGACACAGCTGATCCTCACAGTCAATTGACATGAAGGTCAATTCCTCCCAATAGCAATCAAGGCTTAACTACAAGACTGTGCACACAGCCCACAAAGGGGTGCACAAGTGTGTCCACCTCAGGTAACTGAGGAGGCTCAGCCTCTGGGCCCTATAGGACACTTAGCACACAAAGCCACTCTATCAAGTAAGGAAAGCAGCCAAAATGCAGAGATGAAGAAACAGATCACAAATGAAAGAAATGGAGGAAAGCAAACTACTGAATATAGAGTTCAAAACCATGGTTATAAAGACTACTCAAGAATCTTCTAGAAACTGCGGATAAATTTAGTGAGATCCTCAAGGATATAAAAAAGGACTAACTAGAAATTAAGCATACACTGACTAAAATAAAGAATAATATACAGAGATCCAATAGCAGACAAGAGGATCCCAAGAATCAAGTCAAAGATTTAAAATGTGAAGAAGCAAAAAACACCCAACCAGAAAAGAAAAAAGAACCCAAAAATATTAAAATAGTGCAAGGAGCCTCTGGGACAACTTCAAGCGTACCAACATCAGAATTATGGGGTACCAGAAAAAGAGAGAGGGCAAGATATTGAAAACCTATTTGAAGAAATAATGACAGAAAACTTCCCCCACCTGGTGAAAGAAATAGATTTATAAGTCCAGGAAGCGCGGAGAACCCCAAACAAAAGGAATCCAAAGAGAACCACACCAAAACACATCATAATTAAAATGCCAAGGGCAAACGACAAAGAGCATCTCACAAGCAGCAAGAGAAAAACAGTTGCCTACAAGGGAGTACCCCTATGACTGTCAGCTGATTTCTCAACAGAAACTATGCAGGCCAAAAGGGCGTGGCAAGAAATATTCAAAGTGATGAACAGCAAGAACCTACAACCAAGATTACTCTACCCAGCAAAGCTGTCATTTAGAATTGAGGGTTAGATAAAGAGCTTCACAAACAAGATAAGCTAAAGAAGTTCATCACTACCAAACCAGTATAACATGAAATGCTGAAGAGTATTCTTTAAGAAGAAGAAGGAAAGGAGAAGAGATTTAAAAAATATGAACAATAAAATGGCAATAAATACATTTCTACCAACAATTAAATCTAAAAATCAAAATAAGTGAACAAGAAATCTAATGAACCAATAAACTGGTGAATAAAATAGAATCAGAGGCATGGAAGCATGGAATAGACTCATGACTCTCAGAGGGAAAGGGATGGGGAGACACTAAGAGATTTACCAAAGATCTTAATCTATGGACACATACAGTACGGTGGTGAAAGTCTAGGATGGGGTGGGAACCGGGTGGAGGGGGACATTGGGGACAAGAAAGGAGGAGATCTGTAATACTCTCAACAATAAGGATTATAGCCGAAACCGGTTTGGCTCAGTGGATAGAGCGTCGGTCTGAGGACTGAAAGGTCCCAGGTTCGATGTCAGCAAAGTTGTCTTCCTTCTAAAGCAGGGGTGGGGAACCTCTGGCCCATGGGCTGTATGAGGCCCTTGAAATTGTTTGGTCTGGTCCTGCCAAGGCACTAGTGGTGAATTAATTAAATATTTGACCAACTGTAGCAGGCTAATTTTTAAGCTGATAATTTTGTGTGTCCCAAGAATGATGTTATAAATTTATATATCCAACGGCACTTGGCAGAAAAAGATTCCCCACCCTTGTTCTAGAGGCTGCTAGCATTCCTTGGTTCATGACCTACCTGTTACATCTTCAAAGCCAGCATGATAGTATCATATTGACCTCTACTTCTATGATCACTTCTTCCTTCTTTCACTCTCTTGCCCCTTCCCCTTTCCTTTATAAGGCCTCTGGGGAACCTTTTTCTGCCAAGTGCCATTGGATATTTATAACATCAATCCAGGATGATCTCCCCATCTTAAGATTCTAAATGTACTCACACTTGCAAAGTCCTTTATGCCATGTAAGCTACCATATTCAAAGGGAATTGTTACATGGATGGGGTCATTATTCTGTCTACCACAGTTTGCATCTTACCATTTACTAATTGTGTGACCTTGGAGAAATGGGCATAATAGTTTCTGCCCCATAGGATTTTGGGAGGATTAAATGAGTTAATATTTATCATTAATGATTGTGTCTGACATATAGTAAATGCTATATAATTATCTGCTAGCTGAAATCTATTAAGAAAATAAAAATATACACATTCGCCGGGACCGGTTTGGCTCAATGGATAGAGCGTCAGCTTGGGGACTGAAAGGTCCCGGGTTTGATTCCGGTCAGGGGCATGTACCCTGGTTGCGGGCATATCCCCAGTAGGGGGTGTGCAAGAGGCAGCTGATCGATGACTCTCTCTCATCGATGTTTCTGACTCTCTATCTCTCTCCCTTCCTCTCTGTACAAAATCAATAAAATATATTAAAAATAAAATAAAATAAAAAAATAAAAATATATACATTCTTTGACCTGGCAATACTATTTTTGATCATCTCTTTCATAGAAGCAAAAACATACATGCATTAGGTTATATAAAATATTGTTCTTATTAGCCAAAAAGAAAAAGAAAGAGGAAAAAAATAAAATTAAAAAATGCATAAACAGAAAGTCATTGTTATGTCTGTTAATAGGAGAATGATTGAATCAGTTGTAATCCATATGGTATATAATGAGCTATTAAAGAAAATATGTTAACTCTATATTTAAAAAACCCAGAACAATATCCTGAATGAAAGTTAAATTAGAGGAGGAAGTTACAAAGTAATGCATAATCTCATTTTTTAAAGTACAAGCATCACCCCCCCCCAAAAAAAAAAAATAATAATCATTTGAGTCAACCTTTAAACCTCTGAATGTCTAATTTTCTTCATCTGTGAAATAAGGATAACAATCATTCTCCCTTAACTGGCTAGATCTAGCAAGGATGAGCTGGGATGAAATGTACCAAGTCCTTAGACTCCTGCAAGCAGCTGCATAGTCTGGATATTTGTGTAAAGTGGTTTGAATGGAGAGAGGTGTGAAAGGATGTACCCAGGTTGGTCACTTGGTTACCTGGCACATGAGGAAAGGATATTCACAAGTGGTGGGAAGAGATGATTGATGTTTTAAACATGTCTTTGCATTGTTTCATGGATGGAGACTACTAGCCACTGTTACTTAGTAACTTTAATATTCTAATGTTTTATTGATAGTTTGGATACCACTACCATAGCCACAAACACTGAATTGGGGAAAGCACAAACCTGGAAACATACCATGATTCAAAATTTTGTAATTTTTTAAGAGGAATGAATAAAAAAGGGGGTGGGGAAGCAGGAGAGCCCTAAATCAGGCCTGCCTTTTATGTCTGCAGCATCTACTGCCGAGGCTGCTCCAAGCCGCTGTGCTGCTCTTGTGCGCTCCTGGACAGCGGTCACAGTGACCTCAAGTGCGACATCACCTCAGAGATCCAACAGCGGCAGGAAGAGCTGGACACCATGACGCAGGCATTGCAGGAGCAGGACAGCGCCTTCGGCATGGCGCAGGCGCAAATGCGGTCAGCTGTTAGCCAGCTGGGGCGTGTGCGCACCAACGTGGAGGAGCTGATCCGCTCACATGTACGCCAGCTAGTAGCCCATGTGCAGGAGCAGGAAAAGGAACTGCTGGAGGCAGTGAACATGCGATATCAGAGCGAGTACAAGAAGATCGCCGGCCAGTTGGGCCAACTAGACGCCGTGCTGCAGCGCATCCGCACGGGCAGCGTGCTCGTGCAGAGGATGAAGCGCTATGCCTCGGACCAGGAGGTGCTGGACATGCACGGCTTCCTACGAGAGGCGCTCCGCCGCCTGCACCAAGAGGAGCCCCAGAGACTGCAAGCAGCTGTGCGCGCTGATAGCTTCGAGGAATTCAAGGAGCGCCTGCAGGACCTCGTCTCCTGCATCACCCAGGGAACAGGTGAGCGCCCGAGGGGGCCGGCCTGTTCACCGTGGAGGGCTGTGCCTTGCTGCTCCCTGAGGAAGGCGGGCAGGAAGGATCATTTCCTGTGACAGAAAGGGGAATGGGCTTTTTTATTGTCTTGGATTTGATCACATCGTAGTTTCCAAGACACAGGATAAGGTAGAATGGAGCCCCCAACTTGGGGCTGCAGCCACTCAGAGGGATCACTTTTTACTAATGTACAAGACCCTGCGAATTAGCTGTGATCTTGTGACCCTTTGGGAAGTTAAGAAACTACAGTGCTGAGACCTAGACCCAATATCATTTTAGCTCCAGAGGGACCGACCACTCCAGAAGATTCTCTAACGTGTTCAGCAGCAGAGATGTCAACTAAAATATGAGGTCACGCAGATGTGGACTGGGAAAAACCCATGGGGTGGCTGGGAAAGCCCCTTGAGGTGGCTGGGTGCTTACCCCAAAGAACACTATGACTCAGTGGAGATTATTTGCGACCAACTGCCACTTTGTGGGCCCTGCCCGATATTGGGCACTTGGGAGGTGGATAAAAACAGACCAGTTCCTCACTTCAAGTTGTCCAGTCCAAATGGGGGCATATCTCACAGCTGGAGAAAGAGACAGAGCTTGGCTCTGCAGTCCAAATTCAGGCCTTATAGCAACTCCAAAGAACTGGATACAGCAGGGGACTTTCATGATACTTGAAAGGGGTGGGGATGTGTGAGAAGGCCTCCAGGGTGAGGAGGCTTTAATGATTTTTTGAGAAAATCTCTGGAGTGAAATCTGAGCTATGGACAGCTGGTATGAAAAAGGGGAGGGAAGCTAAGAATCTGAAGGCCCCAGGGCTGGTGTCAGTGAGGAAAGGGCTTACTCCTTCCTGTCCTTGGAATTGATGGATATGGGCTCATAAAAGTAAAGTCCTAGAGTGGGCACGGACTTGTGCCTTCTCCATCAAGGCAGTGAATGTTACCCCGTATACGGGAAATGACCCCTCAGACTTTTAGACAGTTTGCCTTGAGGGTTGTAACTGGGCTGTGACAAAGACAGGAGTTACATATTTTAATCTAAAGCCTGAGTGATTTAGATTAGGTTTAATGAAACCCAGGCTGCAGGTCAGAAGAGTATCATGGAGCTCTCACTGTACGCAGAGAAGTCAGCAAGCAGTAACACCTTTAGCATCATGCACATTTTGCTTTCGTATTGGCCTAGAGATGGAGAGAGGTGTACTTGTTTGGGCGAAAGGCAAGTGCTCACTAATGCTAATACTACCCCTTTCTCCCTTCTGGCTAGGTTCATGCCCACTGTAGTCAGGGAGCTTTCCTTCCAACTCAGCCCCTCCATGGAGTGCTCCAGTGTTGTGAGAGGCTCTGGTATCTAAGAAAAGCACATTCCCTCTTTCCCTCTTTTACTGTCCCAGACCAGGATCCCTCTCACCAGGAGTGTCCCTAGCCCGCTTATGACCTTCTCTGTGTTCTGCAGATGCAGCTTTACCCAGGAGAGCCAGCCCAGAGGCTACCAGCACTTCAAGGGAGCCTTCTGACGTTGATCTGGTGAGATGGGTTTGAGGTCTGACAGGGAGGCGGCACAGTCCAGAAAGTCAGGCAGAAAGTAAACTGAGTGTTGTCCCTGTATCTGAAGGTAATAGAGTAAGGAGAATGCCTGAAAAATGAACAGCAAGTTGCTGGACTGGAGCTTTCAATGGGAGAGAGGATTCGTGGCTTTCTCCGGGTTCCTAAATGCCCCTGGAGCTCTTGATGGGACTAGAGCTCTTGATGGGTTCAAGAGCAGTTAAGCCTTAGGAATAGACAGAAGGCAAAGAAAGTGACCACTGATGGGCACCCCTGATGACCTCTCCCTTCCCGGCACCCCAGATATTTGAGTCTTCACACAAGAATGGAGAATGAGGCCAGGAGTCAGACCTCCACCCAGCAGCCGGGGGTCTATTGGTATGATTTCAGGGTCAGCATATATCCAAGAGCCATAGTTTCTGAAGAATTGGAAGCTACCCATTCCTCCTCTAATGTTTGCGTTCACTTTGCAGTACCCCTGACCTGTCACTGTTCAGCTTTTATCCACACACCCGTAAGGACAGAAGGAAGCTCACTCATTCTTGAAGGTTGTCACGCCATCTCTGGACTGCTCTGACTTAGAGCATTTCCCTGGGTACTCTTTGACTTGCCCTCTTGGGTGCTTGCATGCATGGCACTCTCCACCAGGATCCATTTCCTCGGTTCCTTCCAGAACCAGGAATCTGGTCTCCTCCCCATCCTGCTTATCCAGGTTTGCATGTGCCTGCCTGTCCAGGACTGATCTGACATCCATGAAAAGCAGGTCTTCTGGTGTGGGTGGTCAGGATGGCAAGCCTTCCTAGATTCATTTTACTATGGCATGGCCCATAGGAGAGGGAAAATGCTGAAGGCAAAGGCAATCAGTATAGCTTCCTGGAGGAGGCAGGACTTTTAGATGAGTATTTTACAGCTAGGAGAGAGCATAGAGTCTAACACACACACACACACACACACACACACACACACACACACACACACACACACCCCTTAGAGAAGATGAAGGTAATATCCAGAGAAAGAGTGTGGCTTAACTGGAGGCCACAAGCTGAGCTGGGGCGGGGGGGGGGGGGGGGGGGGGGGGAGGAATAGAGGTCAACTCCTGCCTTGGGTATCACATCCCCATATACATAGCTCCAAAAGTGACCAAAAAAAAAAAGACATTTTACATTTTAATTATTGGATAGGAAATATAATCGTATGGTTAGAAATAAAAACAGAGAAATGTCTTACTCCCATCTTTGCCCCCATCTGTCAGCTCTTATGCTCACATACCTATCTTTTTTTTAACCTTACATTTCCTTCCAAAATTTCTTTATGTAATTATAAGTAAATACAATTACAGATATTTGCTTTTCTCATTCTCTTTTTGCACATAGATAGCATAGTACCATGTATACATAGCATTGTGGACCATTGACTATAACATGCATTTTTAGCCAGTCCTCTGTTGATGGATATTTAAGTTGTTTTATATTACCTGCAGTGCTAGGATAATGTCCCCAAAGAAAGCATATGAATAATAGTGGAAAGTGCCCTGGGTCCACAGATCTCAGCTGTCTTCCAGGTGCCAGTTGCTGATTAATGAACAGCAAGAAAGCCCATACTGTCCATGTGAGGTCTAGGCATTTTGCCGTGTCTTTATCTTGAGGCGACTTCTCACTACCCATTACTAAGTAGTTTGAACTTGGAACATGAGAAGAATGCTCTTTTTTGCAGAGCCTAAGTAACAGGCTGGAGGAGTGGGTAGGCAGGCAGGTGGAGCTTGAAGAAAGGAAGGGAGTAACACAGTGAGTGCAAAAAAAGAGTGAGGCAGCTCGAATGAGATAGGCAGGTCTAGTTTGTTCCAGTAGCGTCAGGTCCATCAACCAAGATGAAGGCAACTCCTGGATCCACATCCCTGTATGGGCCTCTGGTGCCAACACTCATCCCTCCTGAAACTGTTGGTTAACTTTTATTACAACTGTATGCCTAGGCAGAAATGACAAAACATGCCTACAGGCTTAACTAGAACTTCTGGGGGAGTGGAGTAGCTCGGGCATCCCCCCTTTTGTTTCCCATAGACTATTTTTGCAATGATGTTACAATACTTCAGTGAAAAAAATAAAAAATTTTAAAGCTATAAAACAATTATAAACCCGTCATCATGATATTTTTTTTTCTTACTGAGCCTCATGTGTCCCCTGCTTCATTAACAGTGGGGGTGGGTGTTGAATGGAGGCAAAGAGGAACAAAGCCTGCTCTGGGGAGTTCACGGCCCATAGGCAAAGGTCTTTTACTGAGCAGCAGTCTGTAGAGCCAGACAAGAAAGGTAAAAAACATGTTTTAATGGTAACAAAATACATGTAACATAAAATTTACCTATAATTAGAATTGCTGGTTTATATGGTAATATCATTTTTAATTTGTTGAGGAACTGTCCTGCAATTTTTCATAGTGGCTGTACCATTCATTCTACATTTCTACTAACAGTACACAAGGATTCCAATTTTTCCACTTTCTCACCCATACTTATTTTTAATGTCCCCATTGATATTTTAGAGAAAGAAGAAGGGAGAGGGAGAGGGAGAGAGGAAAACATCTATGGGAAAGAGAAACATCTATCAGTTGCCACCCGCATGCACCCCACAACCCAAGCATGTGCCTAGGGATTGAGACTGCAGCCCAGGCATGTGCCCTGACTGGGAATTGAACCAGCCACCTTTCAGTGCATGGGATGATGCTCAACCGAGTCACACTGGTCAGAGCTACTTTACTTTATTTTATTTAATATGTAATAGTTGGTTTAAACATTTTGACCATCACCTATTATAAAAAAATATATTTAATATCTAGCCAACACTCTGTATACATACACATAAAACAGTTTTGCAAAAACAAATGACACTTATTACATGGGGTTATTATATTTCCTGTTCTATGTAATATAAAAAATGCGGGTCATGACCCACTCAATTGCTTTCATTATCTACTAATGGGTCACAATAAATATAGTTTGAGAATCACTGGCATAGAGCACTCACTATAGACTGTGCACTTTCCTGGAGTCAGAGATTGTCCATTTTCTGCCCTTCCCACACACAGGCTTCATTCTCTAATCCCAAAACAACTCTCTTCCCTTTTTTGTAAATAATTGTTGTGCAAAAGAAACCAAGGGGAAGAAAGAAGGAAGTCAATCCATTTCAGCAGACTGTGGAGAAGCCCACAGCCCATGTCAGAGCACTGATGATACCAAAAAGAGCCCTGCCTGGCTCCAGTCCGGTACCTGGACGTGGCCCCGTCATACTGGGCCTTCCCTATCTACTGCAGCTGGGTTTGGCCAGGTCATTGCTGGTGTCCTCTGAGAGTAGGCCTGGCCACACAGGAGGGGCAAAGCTTGTTCCTATTAGGAAAGTATCCCAGGCCTTGTACTCTCACAGTCAGTCACCTGGCTTTTCCAATGCAGCTCTTCTTGATGAAGGGCCCCTCTGCTGCGATGGAATACCTTGCTTTCACTCTGTGGACAGACTGCATGCTCCTGACTGATGATCGTCACATAGAATTTGAAGCATCAATGGTCAGGAGTGTGGGCCTCTTCTTTCAAAGGAGCACTTCCCACATCATTCATTTTTAACAAGCCATTCAGTTTCACACAATAGGGAAGGATGGTGGGAGGGAAGCAAAGAAGACAGTGACTAAAGAAAAGCAAGTTGCGCGGGCACTGGAAGGGAACGGTTCAAACCCTAGTCCAGGCCCTTATTAGGTCTATGACCATAGTAAATAACTTCCCCTCTCTTGTGCTTCAGTTTCCTTCTCTGTAGATTTGTGATAATTATAGGGTGGTACTTACCTCTTTTTTTAAAATTATAATTTATTTTTATTGTGGTAAAATTCACATAAGAAAACTTTTATTTTTTTAATCTTTATTATTGAAAGTATTACATATGTCCCCGTTTTTCCCTCATTGACCCGCTAAAAAACTATTTTAACCATTTTAGAGTATAAAGTTCAGTTACATTTAGGACACTCTCAATCTTTTTTGTTTTGTTTTGTTAATCCTCTCCCAAGGATATTTTTCTATTCATTTTTAGAGAGAGTGGAAGGAGTGAAGGAGGGAGAGAGAAAAAAAAATTAACATGAGAGAGACACATCAATTGGTTGCCTCCTCAACCAGGGTTGGGGATTGACCTGCAACCTAGATATGTGTCCTCAACTGGGAATTGAACCCACAACCCTTTGGTATGCGGGCTGATGCTCTAATCACTGAGCATACCAGCCAGGGCTACACTTACAATCTTGTACAACCATCCCAACTATCTAGTTCCAGAATATTCCCATTGCCCGGAAAGGAAACCCCGAAGCCATGAAGCAGTCACTCCCCATTGTGCCCACCCCACCCCTTGGCAACCACCGCGCTCCTTTCTACAGGTATACATTTAGCTATTCTGGATATTTCACAGAAATGGAAGTGTACAATATGTATCCTTTTGTGGCTGGCTTCTTTTCACTCAGCATAATGTGTTCAAGGTTCATTCATGTGTGTGTATCAGAATGTTATTCTTTTTAGGGCTGAATAATACTCCACTGTATGGGTGTGCCACATTTTATTGACAGACATTTTTGGGTGTTGTGAATAGTGTTGCTGTGAACATTCATATGCAAGTTTTTGTTTAAACATCTGTTTTCTGTTCCTTTGGATACATACTTAGAAGATTTGTTGAATCATGAAAATTCTGTCAGACTTTTTGAGGAGCTGCCTCTACTTCATTTGGGGATGGGTACATGAAGCACCTCACTGAGCCTGGCACAGAGTGGTAATAAAAACACTATCATCCATCAGGTACTAAGTGCCAGGTGTTCTTTCTAGCATTTTACTTAGTAATGTACTTCATCCACACTACTCTGTGAGGTAGAGAGGATGATTATTCCCATTTACAGAGAGGGCCTTTGGCCCCAGGAGTTTTAAGTGATTTGTCCAAGATGCATTAATGCTATTCTGACCCAGGCAGAGTTAAAGCCCCTTGGGCAGCGTGAAGGCCACAGGGAGGCCAGTTTCAGCTCAATGGAAGGATGTCCTTCCTGTTACAACTTGGCTGCTATAGAGGAACTGGCTCCTGCAGCAGTGAGCGTTTTGTTCCTGGAGCTGTGTAGGCTAGATGTCGAGCAAGCCTTGAGGAGTTGTTGGGCAGTGATTCCTGGATGCCAGCACCTCCGGGTCATGAGGTGAAGTCATGGAGGGTGTGGGGAAGGCTCTTGGTCCCTAGGGCCTCTAGGCTTTGGACTGGATGAGGCCTTGGGAATTGGGCTGACCCCAGATCTAGGTTTCCAGCCCTTATCTTGCTGCACAGTCATTTCTGATTCTCCTTTTCTGACTTTGCAGCCAGTGGGGACACAGATAGCTCAGGTGCAGGCCCTGGGGCTGGCTGAGGCTCAACCTGTGGCCGTTGTACAGCCGGTGCCAGGGACACACCCCGTGCCGATGTATGCCTACTCCATCAAAGACCCCTCCTATAGAGAGGTAAGTTTTCTGCAATCTTGCTTCTCCTCCTGAGAGCACAGATCCCAGCAAGCAGTAAGAGGAGCTGAGTGAGAATCCAGACCTTAGCACCTGCTGCTCTATGCCCTTCCTTCCTTTCCCTCTGCTGCCCTGTCAGGAACTTCCCCTCTATACTAAGCATATGAGCCACTCCCAGGGCAGGCAGAGGCCGGTGGTTAGTAGGCAGGGCCAGTGTGCATGGCAACCTGGGAGGACTTTTTGAGTGGAGAAAGGCAGAGAGGAAGGCACAGGCCCCTGCCACCCAGGTCTAGGTCTCTGCCCACCAGAGACCTTAGGGCCCCTGGAGGCTCCTGACCTGGCACTGTGATTTCCCACTGCACAGGAGGTTTCCAACACAGCCACGCCACAGAAGAGGAGGAAGTCCTGCCAGACCGAGTGCCGCAGGAAGGTTATCAAGATGGAGTCGGAGGAAGAGAAGGAGGCCAGGTTGTCCCTGAGCTCCCCTGAGCAGCCCAGGCCCAGCACCTCCAAGGAAGTCTCACCACTGCCCCTGGAGGGGTCCCAGAGCCCTGAGAGCCACACTGCAGGAAATGAGGAATTACTGCTCAACAGCAACCATGAGATTGGCGACTCTGGGGAGGCAGGTAGGGAGGTCAGGGACAGCAGAGGCTGAGGCCTGCATACTGTTTTCCAGGGGCTTGGTGGGGCCCCTGTTCTGTATCCTGACCAACCCAGGGAGCCCAAAGCCAACAGCATTCCCTGTGTCCTGCCCTCAGCTGCTACCACACGGGCAAGGAGAGCCCACAGTTTTCCTGTGGCTTATTTCACCATGTGCTTTGACGGGATTCCAGTGTGGGGAGCACCAGAAGCTGAAGTTAAGTTCCTTAGCTCCTTCCCCAAATACACTCCTGCAGAACCTACCGTGTTTCCCCGAAAATAAGACATCCTCCGAAAATAAGACCTAGCGCATGGAAAAATAAGACATCCCCTGAAAATAAGATCTAGCGCATCTTTGGGAGCAAAAATTAATATAAGACACTGTCTTATTTTCGGGGAAACAGGGTAGCACCATGTCTCTGCACAGCATGGGTCTCCCCATGAAATGTTTGTTTGTGGGTGTCCAGCACATTACCAGAGAGGACTCAAATAAAGACCATGGACCCATCTGTTTCCAAATTGGCCCCTCATTTGTCCTAGATATCTTTCAGGGACACTGCCAAATAGGAAGTCCTTTGGCAAGACTAGCCGTCAACCCATAGAATTCTGGAATGTTCAAGACAGTCTCACAGGTCTAAGAATTGGAACCAACAAAGGTCCCCACGGGAGAACTGGGGCTGGGATGGGTAGGATTGGGTGTTCCTAAGAGGGCCTGACGCTGCCTCCCCTACCTTGTTTCAGAGGAGCGCATTGTGGTGATCAGCAGCTCAGAGGACTCAGATGCCGAAAACTCGGTGAGTGGCCCAGAAGTTTGGCCCGGGATTCCTGCCTCCCCCCATTCCAGGGGACACAATCACAGCAGGTGACTCAGTCCTAAGGATAATCTTCAAAGGCCTGTGGGCCTGAACCACCCCAGCCCTCCCTCCAGATGAGGGGCCTTCAGTAACCATATATACTCTTCTAAACTGCTGATAGAGTAATTCCTTCCAGATCTGTCTCTTTTCTGAACTAGACTTGGCCTTTGTTGGGAGCTTCCTTATGTATTTCTGTCCCCTTCTCAACAAGGAGGGTGGACACAAGTGAGGGCCAATTTGAGGGATTGTAAGGGCACAGGGCAGCGCCACGTAGGGCTCACACAAGAAATTTCACTCCAGATAAGAAAGAACTTCTTTAAAACCATCCTGTAATGGGGCAGTGGTTTGTGGGTTGTATCCCTTCTGTCCCTGAGATTTGTTAATGGGCAGTCCCCTGTCTAGGGGAAAAGAGGATCTGAACAGAGTAAAAGGTTGGACTGGGTGGTCCCTGAGCCCCTTCCAGCCCTCAATCTGAGGTTCTGTATTGGAAAGTGCTTGGAGCCCATGGAGACTGCTGCGACATACTCCCGGCCAGCCCACTCCCTGCTGAGAGCACTAAGAGCATCCCACACCTGCCGGGCCTCCCATCTGCCCCGAGGTGCATGCCACTTCCTGGCTTGGTCTCCCCACAATCCCACCAAGCAAGTCATCTCCGATGCCACATCTCCCAGCCAGCCTGCCGGGTTCCAGGAGCATGCTGCCATCCATCGTGGGATCAGCCACCTGTCTCGCAGGATACAAAGAGCCATCCGCCTTCGTCACATCCACTTGCCACTCAAACCGTATCGTGCCCCCCTGTGGACTTGTCCTTCCCCGATGGCCCAAGCCACTACCCTTGCCATTACTGAGCCCCCCAACCATTCTGCCAACCTCCAGGAGTGTCTTGCTTGTCTCCAAAAGCCAGCCATCCGCCAACCCCGACTGGTGCGGCAGGCAGGGCGGTCTTTTGGCCACTCCCTCCGGGGGTCCTCCCATGTAGCTCAGTGGCTCAACAACTTCTTTGCTTTTCCTCTCTCCTCTGTTGCTTCCCAGACTGATGCCTCTTTCAGGGGAAGCAGGGCAGGAGGCCAATCACCCCAGACTCTTGGGGCAGGAATCTCCCCCCAGGATTCTGACAGGACCCCTGTAGAGAATCCCCAAATCCAGGAAGTCCCTCCAAATGCATCCCCATCACTCCTGTCCTCAGAGAGGCCCCCCACCAGCCCAGGTCCCCCTCAGACAAGCCTCTGAGAGCCCCGAGTGCCTCCCTCTACAAACACTGGCCACTATCCTCTTGTAACCTTGCGCCAACACCCACACCCTGCTCTGCCCCCTCCTCCATCCCTCTGTCCAGCCTAGCCCACACACCTAAAGACCCTACAAGCAGTAGGCATTCGTACATCTTGGTCAAAGAGTGAACTGAGGATGGAATGGTTGCATAGACTCTGGGCAAGGAGATTTTAGTCCTTGTTAGTTGAGAGGGCATGACAGATTCAGGCCACCACTCCTCACATGTCTGGGCCTCTGCTCAATGAAAGCTTCTTTCGACCTTTGTACCTCCCACTGTCCCATCCCCCGACCCCAGTCCTTTCCACTGGGCTTGTGTCAAGATCTAAGACCATGAGGGCAGGAACTGTATCAATCTTACGACCTGGCAGATGTGGCTGCTCAATAAATGTTTGTTGAAAGACTGTGACCAACAGATTCCTTGCTGGACTTAGCTTTTGTCACTTCTCTGTTCTGAAACTTGGTTTCATGTAGGGTTACTCTGTCCCTCTTTCTGCCACGTCAGAGGTGGAGGTGGGATCAAGGCCCTCTGTGTCTCCTGGGTTGTTTCAGTCCCACCATCTGATAAGACTGCCTATGCCTTTGAGATTCCAGATCTTGAGGTGAACCCCACTTCCCTAGCTCATATCAGATGTTTTCCTACTTTCCTCACATAGGGAAGACTCTGGCACCTGTCTCCTAAGGTTCCTCTCTCTTCCTCTTCAGGGGATACAGCATTCTTTACCTCAGCTTCTCTGCTCCTTGACCTCTCTCCATCACCAGGCCATCCATGGAACCTCACCATCACTGAACTGTCCATCTCTAAACTGGCCCACTCAAGACTGACCATCGCCTTCTGTCCCTTGAGCTTTCCATCAGTAACTTTCAGTACCTCTACTCTCTCCCACCCAGCTCCTCATGGCCTCCAGTTAGGCCTGCCTTTCACAAACAACCCTGGTGGGATTTAGTAGGTTGCCTCTGCATTGCTACCCAGAGCTGAATTCTGTTGGAGAAAATCAACGGGAGGAAAACCACAAAGGATAGTCAGTCAAAGGCTCTCTCCCACTCTCCACCTCAGCTCACTGAACCTCCACAGCCTAAGATCTGGGCCCTCATCCTCACCTTCACTCTCGGCAGGTGACCACACCCTCTGCCCTAGGAAGCGAACAGGAACCTTCAGATGGCAAGGGAGCTGTTGACATCTTGCTATCTAATATCCAATGATAAATTGACCTGACCCCATCACATTCCTCTCATCCTATTAGGGTAGAGGGACATTCACCTGTCTGGGACTCCTCTGTCCTGGTCCCAGCACCCCTGCCTCCTTGGGAGCCTACCCCATCTGCCGTTCCTCATCTCCATCTTCAGATACTTCTACTTCCTTAAGAGCCATAACTAAACATGCTAAAGGAAGTCTTCCCATCTCAGAACCTCTCTTTCCTTATCTCCCTGGGTGTTCCTTGCTCACCCCATTTTCCTGCTCTCCCTCATTGTGCCAGTGGATCCTGCCCACCAGCACCAGGGTAACCTCCCTGCCTCCAAGTCCAATGGTCACCTTCAGTTGTTACTCTTGACCAGCATTGGAGCCTCCTGAGAAACTGCTTCCCTTGGTTCGGGAGGGCTTTCTCCTTTCCCTCCTACATCCTGGCTGCTGCTCCTCTCCTTCAAGATCCTTTAAATGTTCTGCTTTGGTTTTGGTCTAAATGCCTTCCTATAATCTCAGCCAGGTCTTTGCCTTCACTTACTGCTAGAGGCTGTTGATACAAAGTCAGTACAGCCAGAGATTCTCCTACAGCGGTGGGTACTTAGATGTCCCAGAGAGACCTCAAACTCATTTCTTGCTCTGCTTGGTGAATTGCGCCATCTGCCCAGTTATACAAGCTGAAACCTCGGAGCTGCCCAGAACTGCGTGCCCTCCCCCCATCCCCCAACACACACACACACACACACACACACACACACTCATTTCTATTCCTCACAGCCAATCCATTTTTGAGACTTGTCTTTTCATATTCTGAAATCTGGGTACTTTTTTCCATCCCATAATCTTGATAAGATTAAAACAAAATTGAGTTTGCCAAAACCGGTTTGGCTCAGTGGTAGAGCATCGGTCTGTGGACCGAAAGGTCCCGGGTTCGATTCCAATCAAGGGCATGCACATTGGTTGCGGGCACATCCCCAGTAGGGGGTGTGCAAGAGGCATGATTCTCTCTCATCGATGTTTCTAACTCTATTCCTCTCTCTTCCTCTCTGTAAAAAATCAATAAAATATATTAAAATAAAAATTGAGTCTGGATGGAGGTAGAAGCATGGGAAGAGATGATAGAAAAAAGGACTAGATGCCACTGGTCTTCCCAGACTTCCTGAGAGTCAACGGAGGAACTGACTCTAGCTGTGTTTGGGTGGTGGGGTATCAGGCTAATCTTCAGCTGTGGGCAAGGAGCCAGGTGGTGCCTGAAGGCACTGCAGGTGATGAAGAATTAGCTGCTCACCTTGGAGACTAGCTCTGGAGACATGGAGAGAGCCAGAGGAACAATGGCTTTTGTGTAGGTATTCATCAGACAGTTTTTAACTTAATCATTACAGAAGTCCCAAACCTTTTGAAGAAATTTTAAAAGAAAACAAATCAGATCCTCCTGGTGAATTTCTTACCCACCCTCCATGCCACTTCCAGACCCCTGGTGCTCCTAGAGTATTCGAAGCAGCTTGGAGGGAGAGGGCAGGGTGACATTCCCTGGGTGCTCTAGGCTCCTGCATTCCCATGTCCTTTCTCTCACTTCCCATGATAGTTGTAGAATACCAACCTGCTAATATGCCACATCTTCCAAGCATAATCAGGTGTGTAAACAACCCCCCTCTCCCACACTTTCCTTGGGCTGTAGGTGTGTGAGTTGTTGCAATGTATACTTGTCTGGAGACTTTGGTGCAGGCCTGCTGGGCCAGGGAGAGACTGAGTGAATAAGAGACTACTCAGAAAGAGGCCTCACCCCTTCCAGATGAGGCAGAAGTTGGGTGGAAGGGTGAGACCCAGGCTTGGTGGTAGACACCTGGGGTCAGCAGTGCCTCTGCCATGGGCCTTGTGTTAGGACCCAAAGCAGAAAAATAAATAAATAAATAAATAAATAAATAAATAAATAAATAGGTGTTCTCTTCTGACAGTTGATTGGCCCAGGGCCTGGCATCAGGAAGACCAAGTGGAAGCAGGAGGGGGCCTATGGAAAAGGAGGGGCTATGTCAGAAGTGGCAGTGGAAGGGAGGCCTGGGGGGAGCAGCTGATCCGGGGAAGGGACAGTGATGCTGGTGAGTATGTATCAGAAAAATAGGTGCTCTTCTGGGATGATGTGAGCTGTGTCCCACAAAGGCCAGTAGCAGCCTGCAGAGGGGCTGGAAAAGTGGGCATTGGGGCCACAGGTGAGTTAACGAGGTGGGCCCATTCACAGATACAGGTGAAGCATCACTGGGGCCTTTCATACTTTTCTTTTTTTAAAAAAAATATTTATTATTTTAAAAAAATAAAACTTTATTGTTCAGATTATTACAGTTGTTCCTCTTCCCCCCCCCCTCACCCCCATAGCTCCCCTCTACCCAGTTCCCAACCCACCCCATGCCCTTACCCCCTCCCCCCACTCTCTTCATCCATAGGTGTATGATTTTTGTCCAGTCTCTTCCTGCAACCTCACACCCCTTTCCCCCCA